TTTTTTTCTAAGGCAGGATTAACTGGTGTRTAAGTAACAGACTAGGTGCTTTCACTGCCAAAAATTATCTGACTAGAAGTTTGAATCTGGCTGTACAAACAGCAGCCCTGCCTGTACTCATACAAGCTTGTTTTGTGGTACACAAGTTACTATGTCATTCATGCTCTGTAACAAATTGCATTCCATAAAGCATGAAATGCCTTTCTATCTGAAATTGAATGGAAAAAATAAGCAGCAAATTAAATACATGGGCAGGTTTTTCTCTCTTTGTTGTTGTTGCTATTATTCTAAAAACATTTATTTTCATTWAAAAACTCTACTTTTAAAGTGGTAGGATACTTTCAGGAACAATGGTGCACATTGATGATATGAATGACTTATTCAATGAGCATAAGAGGAAGGGCAAGAAAGAAAACTCATTAAAACTATCAGATCTTTGTGAAATTGCTTGAGTAAGCAAAAAAAAATTATATTTTAAAAGCAAGCCCCTGATTTTTTGTACTGAGCTCCAGACCAGGATAGCGAATTTGTGACCATCTCATGGGCAGTCATGTTTGGCATGTGGGCAATGGCCTGTTGGTTTCACAGCACCCRAGAGTTACTTAGATAAGAGTTGGCCTCCCCCCACCTTCAAGACTCATTTTCAGGAGTATTTGTCACATTTGTTAGGACAATAGGGATTTGCTTTTATTAGTATTTCAATACTAATAAGTCATGAAATGATTTTCCTATAAAAGTTTTCACYAAAACCGTTGCAATTACTTATTTACTCAATAGATGGGATATGGCAAAAAATGCTTGACCTTTTCTTTTCCAAATAGCTGTAACAACCCAGCATCAACTAGCTATTAATCAAAGCATCAGTGTAATGAGGAATCACCTTCACCTTACCAAGAGCAAAACAAGAGTACATAGTACTATCCCACACCACAAAAAATTTTGTTTGGGCCAGACCCAAAACTTCAGGTATTTTGTCCTTTTGCCCTCTTCAAATAAWTTTATTTAATTAATCTCTTATCAAAAAGATTAACCTAGCCTTTCTTAGAAAGCTGCAGCCTTAGACTCCTTTAACTTCCTTAGAAGTTAGTTATACAGAAGGATAGAAGTATTTTTTGCTTTTTTTCTAAAGGTTTCAGGTGCATTCAGGCTCATAATTAGCCAAAAGAATGGAAGAATATACTGATTTGATACTATAACAGAGCAGAGCAAATAGCTTGTACGCATTTGCTGAAGAAGCCTCTCAGTAGAAGGCAGTATCTATCCCTTTAAGGGCATTAAGACAACTGCAAACAATAGCTCGAGTTTAAAGTAGTTTGTGAACCACTTACATAGAAAAGCTTTTCCCACATTATTCTCATTTTGCTGATAGGAAGTGAAAGCCCAGAGCGCTGCTTAAGATCACTCAACACCCCTATAACCAAGATGGGCAGAGAAACCACAGACTTGGCGTCCAACCCTCAGCCTACCAGTGGGATCACCTTCATGACTGACAGGAGAGATTTTGCTATGTTGCACAAAATATTGCAACACAAGCTGTTGGTCAGGATGGCAAAGCAGTGCTTACTCCTTATACAATGTTTGAGAGATAATGGCTTYTAAGATGCCCTCTTGTTAAATCTACCTGTTTCTAATGAAGCTGTTACAAGCTGTCTGCATTGATGATGATATAAGTAAATGAAATGGGATCAGTAGCATAAGAATCTGTATTCTCAGGTAAAACTTTAGGACCATTTTAATGATTTGCTGTATGTGTGCAATAAGACGATAGTCAAAGAAAAAAAAAAAAGCCATGTGTTCTGCAAAATGTGGTAGGTGAGACAAGAGGTAAAACTCACTTTAGAGACACATACCATGATGCTGAGGTGTGTGCTTTTTTCCACAAATAGCAGTGCCCTCTTATGGAGATATACTTACCAATTGCCTAGAGTACTAGTGTGTTCTTGCTTTTGATAGGTTTGGSTTTTTCCCTTTACTTTGGGTTACTAGCCCCATTTATTCAGTCCATTTTTTTATTATCAGCAAGTCAGGACAAACCAGTAAGTTAGAGTATTTAAAGCATCATTGCATCACATCCAGGAAAATTGCAGTAAAAATTATTATTGCTGTAGAAGYATCCAAAATGTTATCTAGACCAAACACGTCCTATGCCTCCCTGAARGGCTCCTGGTGCAGTGGGCAGGCTCTGTGGTTTACACCAAACACACAGACACTCATGAAAACATACCCACAATTCTGGCTCTAACAAACTATTACTGTYGCATTCATTTGGATGAAAAGCATCACATCAACTCCCTGTCTGGCACAAGTGGGACTCAACTTTGGCTATGTCCACGTTTAATTATAAAGTAAATAGCAGCTCATGGTGCTTTTCAGCCCTGATCTGGATGATCTATCTTATTACAGTATTAATCTTGTCAAAAATAGCCTTTTCATGCAAATACACTGATGGTCTTGTGTCTTATACAATCAAAACCTCTTAATAAGAGATCAATAAAAATTATTTTCTGTACCTCCAGATGTAAAAACCAAAACAAAAAAACACCCTCATTAATGCTAAGCTATCAAGCAAATACACAAATAGTGAAGGTTTACCATTACCTCTTAAACCCAAATTTTACAAAAAAATAATTAGCTTGATTGCCTGTTCCTCAAAATCCAGTGAATTAATTTTACTGCTCTCTTTACATTTGCATTTGTAAAACAAAATTTATGCTATTTGTTGTAAGTCACAATTTTTAGATTTTAATTTTTTTCATAGTACATTTAAAGCTATGAACAATGTACAGTAACTGCTRAAAGAGTTTTAGGCTGTGGACTGTTCTCCTGGACTCCATCTGCCCCAGTAAACCCACGCTAAATTTTGATGCCATATTATTTTATCAATGCAGTTATAACTCAACAACYATATTAAAACCCCTTGCTCAAACAGTCAGTAAGACTACACTTTCATAACCATTTACTCCCTATGTGTGGTGTTAGAACAAAACTTTTTGCAGTAAAACATAAATAGTTTAAAATGCTGTCAAACTACCAGAAACATTTCACTTGGAAAAAAGGGTACTGGACTACAAAGCAGGGGACGTCACTTTTCCAGAAGCATTATTAATGGGGACTATTTCAGTCTTCAGTGACGGGCTGCAGCATTTTTTCAAGTTAAGAATAGAAAATAACCGTACTTGCAAGAATTCAATTACACTGCATTAAAGCTGCCATGGGGTTACTGTACATTTATACATCAGAAAGTCAGTAAATTATTTTTCTATAAATTAGTCTCTCAAAGATGATTTTTTTTCCTTTCTGTTCTGAATGCCAAACTCCTGACTGCTTCTCCACTACAGAGACTTCATATCTGGACAGCCGACATCTGTAAAAACATTTCTAATGAAAACACTACTAATACAACCCCCTGGAGAAACAAATGAAATGAGATCTAAGTATGCAGCCGCCTTTCTACAGCTCTGTCTTTAACAATAGTGAGGCTAGTGCTTCCCATCCAAGCCTTGACACAGGTCACGATCATTTAGGCACAGTAGTAGCAAAATAAATAATTGTGTAAATATGTAATAACTGGTATAAGTACTCCAGTAGCACTTAGAAGATATGATAAAGGACTTCTGTTTTTAGCTGTGCATTAAGGTTTATCTCGATGGATGGATGGGAGAAGCATTTAAACAGCAATGAAGGAGAACTACAGATTGAATACTTGAAAGCTTGGTGCCAGATATAACAATGCTTCTTTTCCACAACAGCAGTTTTGAAAGTGTATTAGTGCTAAAAGAGCTGGATCACTSCTAAAATATTATAGAAACAGTAGTTATAGATTCACTCCAAACAAAAATTACACAGTAAAAATCAGTAATGTAACTATATAATTATTCAGATTCAAAGCCAAACCATGCTTATTCCAAAAATAATTGGTCATACTTTTTTCATATATATATATATATATATATACACGCATTCCACTGCTTTAATACGTAAATTAGAATTTGGACACACTTTTTTCCTGTTAAACAGCTCAGGGGAAAAAGGCCTGTTTCTCTGTAAGAATTCTCAAAATCTTAGCTAATGCTCCAYATCATTGTGTATGAACACACTACACACAGCTTTCCTGCCCTACATTTAAACCTGTATTAAGTAATTTGAGGCAATTCTTTGGTAGCAAAGATCAGTAACAGCAAGTCCCCACCACGGAAGAAAAATTAGCATACAAAGACACAGGGAGGAATCCTCTGCCTGAAGACTATAATGAAAAAACAATGGTGTTTCTAAATGCCCTWATTTTGAAGTGGACTAATGCTTTTACTAGACTAGACTGGACAAATACAGGATATAATCAAAGTTTCCTTATTCAAAGTGAAATGCAAATTCTGGACCCAAATCCTAAGGCAGATGAAGGCTGGAACTGATTTGTCATGGAACAGACAAATAACAGCTCCCCCAGCCCGCAGCCAGGTTCACAGAAACATATTGGTAAAAGTTTTTGTTTTGAAATAATTCCATCAGTTTCCCTAGTGAAATCTGGGTGCAATAAACTCAATAACAGTTTGCCAGGATTCCAGGAGGGTCTAGCAGTTGCTCCTTTTCCCACCACTTTTCTCTGGCCTATGGAACCAGGACTTAAYCTGAAAACACAGGCCTCACTTCCAGCAGTCTTTTTATGCTGGGTAAATTAAAATGGGCTCTTCATCCCATGCATTTGTTTCAAATGACATTTCTCATGAAATGAAGAGAGATTAAGATTAAAATTTTGAGATATTTCTGATTAAAWAATGGTATTTGGTCTTTCCACTGAATAACCCTAGCCTCTAAAATGGCTTTGAGATAATAAAAAAGGCAGYTGGAACCCAACTTAGAAATTTTCTTTGAAAGACAGTAATATTGAGCTCATGTCTGCTATATATACCTACAACAAATATATATTTTGCTTCTGGACTATTTCAGATAAACTGTGCTGGAAAAAATTAAACTCAAACATCAAGCAAGATTAATTTCCTCATTTTAATACAAACAATGATCACAAAGTACAGCAATGACTATAAAACTAAAAAGAAATGTAAATTTTTTTAATAATCACAAAATTAATGCTTTGCACCTCATAAGCTGTGAACTTTCAAAAGATTAAATAAACTCAAATAGCTTAAATTATTAGGTTTATAAATGTTTTTAACAAACAAGCATTCTATGTTTCATTTTACTCAGTGCTCTGACTTGCTAGAAAGAAAACTCAAGTTTCTTTTTAAAACACACAGCAACATGATTGTATTTTTTTATATGCCACAGAAGAGACTCAATTAAAAATTAATTATTAAAAATATTTTAAAGTGAAATTAACTTTGATTAACAAGTTTATTATTTTATGGACTCAAGCACTAAAGATAGGAAAGAGTAAACARAATTATTTGTTCAAATACATAGTTAAAAAATAAATGCAAAGTCTTTAATATTTACTTGAAAATCAACTTTTATTTCATAAAATAGTACATCTGAAAAGTCATAGAATACCAGTTCAAAAAAACAACCAGTTATGAAAATTTAGTCAACACTGTCTTTGAAATATTTAAGTCTCAGGCACCCTCCAGTGTTTGGAGAAGAAACTACACAAGTGAGGAAGCATTTGAAGAAAAAAAGCCATGAACAAGTTTTTCTATCAAAATAGAAGGACCCTGCATCATTTACAATAATTGCATATAGCCATGCATCAGTGATATGACACAGCACGATGCAAAAAATATTGCAGAATTGCATTTCATGGATTTCTATGGGACGGCAATATTTTCTTTGCTAGTGGAATCTCTAAGCACACTACCTAGAAAACTACAGTTAAGTGTGCAAAATATTACAAAAGAATTTCTTATGAAGTCTGGTATTGATAAGTATTCAAGTATTCCTCAGGAAATATGATCTSAATGTTTATACAGCTTGTTTATAATTTTTCTAAGCATTCTAAATTWATAGTTTATTTAGCAGGAGGTACAGTCATGGTAAGGAGGAAAACTAAAATACAATATACCCCTCCTTCCATTTTATAATGAGTACCACACAAAACAGGGGAAGTCATGTWTACAACCCTCCCTGTGAAAATTCACTGATTTTATGCAAAAAACCCCAAACCACTATTTTTTCCAATGGTATCTTCATTCATTCTAAAAGTAAAAAATCCTGAGGTGATTTTTGTACTTGACACTTAAAAGGAAATGCTTGTAACTACAGGACAGACAAGAATGCCTATTGAAATGACAGTGATGTAAATTAATGTTATTAGGTAGACGTACACAAATCTAACAAAAACAGAATGAAAGCCGGAAACCAAAGCGTTCTCAATTGTGATTTTACAGACTAACATTAAGTGTGGATTTTTCCCTTGCATGCTGTTTGTACTTCCAAAATCAAACAAAACTTTACATTCAATTTAAGTGGTAATGAGATAACATGTTTTGAAATGCGTGTTAACTAACTTGAAAGGGGTTACATCTTGATTAAAGAAAACATCTTTACCTAAAATAGCTCTTGTTTTATGTTTGTTTTCAGAATATGAAGTGTATAAATCCACCAAATTATGGCTTCAAGTATCTTTCCTCATTAGGAATTGATGTAAGAATGCATGTATACTTCTGAATATATATTCAGAATACTACTGAATATATATTCTGAATATGACCTTATTCAGAAGTATAAGGTCTTCATCCTCCTGTGTWCATTGTTACCAGGACATGTGCAAAACTGCTAGGGCAATGCTGTAAAATCAGGCTAGTTAATAACTGGTTCAGCTTCAGTTTAAGGTTTGATTTTTATCCCCTCACACTCAGTTACAGTTAGAGAAGCAAACATGTATTACCTTGTCATTTAGTTAAAAAGTAACATCTGATCAGTGCTTTAGTTCAGTTTAGGAATAAGAGTTCTGTCAGGGAAAACAGCTGATGCCATTTTTTGCCTAGTATACCTGAAGAGATATTTTTAAAAATTGAATTAAATCATAACAATATTGACCAAAAACATCTTAGAATCAATATTAAAAATATTACAAATAAACCTAGTCAGGGTGATGCAAAAAGAGGTAGGAAACATTTCAGGAGAGAGTACACAAGATAAATATATTTACACACACACACACACACACACACACACACATCACACATAAATATACATATGAGTACAAAAACATTACAAACCAGTCATTGCCCCCATAAAACTTACAACTGTGCTTAACTTGACACATTGCAAATATTTACATTGACTTCAAAGAGAGCTGACTATAATGTGCAAAACAAAGCATGACATTACATATTTTGCAAAGTAGTATAGGCTTATAAAAGTCACTCTATCCAGATTTTGGCTCCTTCTAAAAACTTTTTGCATGCTTTTAAACASTGATGTTCCTTTTTGCAATAGCCTCTCTAATTTGACGATCAAGTTCACTTACAATATGGTCTTCATGATTATAGACTCCTGTTCTCAACAGGGTATCCCTCTCTTCTATCAGACGAGAGAGGTAATCATCTGTATTCTCATTTAGTTTTCTACAGCGAAGACTATCCATTCGACCACCAGAAGAATCTTTAGYATCTTGCAATTTCTTCCTCTCCTCTTCTTGTTGTTTTAGCCTGGTATCGATAAAATATAAAGAATTAGAGAATAAGACATATTAAAACCCACTTTGATTGTCTTTAGTTTATCTACTGAAGTACTAAGTAAAAGAAAGGAATCTGTGAAAGCCAAAAAAATTATTCTCCCTCTGGGGAAAAGGATAACAACTAAAAGAAACGTTAATGTAATACTGAAATATTAACAATGCCTTTGGTAAGTGCACATGTAACTATGATACTTGCTATCAAAGCTTCTGCTTTGTTAATGTAAACTGTAATGAAATTAAAAGGATTCAGCATACAAAACTAGAGCAGACAGCTTTTGAGGACAAATTTAAAACTTCGGTGTATTCAAAATAAGAATAGAACATGCCTTGTTCTTTTCTTAACACAGCAGCTATGCTTAGAACTGAAGGTTTAAAAGAGAAAAAAAGCTTGGTGCTGTGCATTTATGACCTTAACAAYAACAAAAAAACCCAGATGGTGTTAAACCTGGATTTTTCTGCTGTAAGTTGTATTTTCCAAATGTGCAATTTCTACCAAACTAACTTCTTTAACTGGACTGACAGCCAATTATAATCTTAATATAATTGAATCTTCACCTGTTTTGAGGCTGACACCAAGAAGAAGGAAAGCAGGCAGATGGGGAGGAATCTTACAAATACTTTTGTACCTGTTAAGTTCATTTCTGATATCCTCCAGCTCTTGTCGGTCTGTTTTCCCCAGCTCTTTTTCTTCTGCTGCCAAATAGCGCAACCTCATGTGCTCCAGCTCTTGTTGCTGCTTTTTAAGGTGAGCCATTGCATTTTCCTGTTCACGCTGCATGGGAAAGGGTGAAGATATAACTCAGCTGATTATGTCATGACACATAAAAGTGCTAATTGTAGTGACAGAGCAGAACTTTGGGAATGAAGTCATGGCAATTACACCTCCAGGAGTATTAGAAATGTAGGAGTTAACAGAGTATCTTAGCTAGTGATATCTGTAACACAGTAAGACCAGAAACGATCACAATCACAGTAAACCTGTCCAGTCTGGATTAACTGCAGCCCAATCACAGATATCTTCCCATTAACAAAATAGCAAAGATGTTAACAAACCCTCTTACTAACTTTGGCTTAAGTTGGTAGACATAAAACTTATGCTTCTGGAACTGCTCAAGCAAATGATATTTATTCCTTCCCTATGTAGTTATCTGAAATAATTTTTTTTTAATAAAATAAAAGCTAAGTAGCTGTAGGAAACTTCCACCATCAGTCCCATAGTGCCTAGTACCAAAGCTTCATGAACGGTTTTTTARAATAGCAACTTGTGGTTAAAAAACAAGCCTTGAAAACAAAAATTCTGGCTAGGTCCTCTTACATTTGCATAGCACTATGCAAAATTTTGGATAACTTTGTGGATTTAATGAAATCAATTTATGCATTCTGAAAGCTTGCTTGGCTCTAACTTTTCAAGCTCAAAACAGATACTAATAAAACYGAAGTTTGAGTCCACTACCACTTCMTGACATTAAAGTGCTTTATTGAGAAACATGGCTCTCTCTCCATTTGTCATTTTCCATACRACCTTGATCACTAACTCAGTGTACTCAGTCTTACATGCAGAATAAGACAGAAGACCTGAGGTAGTTAAAAATAAGACAGGAGGTTACACAAACATCCTGGATCTAGGCATATCATGAAGTGCAAGTTTATCTTTTCAATTTTGGCATAGCTTTCACCTAAAGGATTTAATCAGTTTTTTATTTATTATGGGGATAAAAAAAAAGGTAATTTTTTGTTCGATGTGTGTAAGCATATTCTTTATACAGTCAACCTCATAATATTTGAAAGAGTTCAGTCAGGTAGTTTCCTGAATCCCAGATACCGGCATTTTAAGTACTCCCTGTTGATGATCAATGATTGACAAGATAATCTGAATTACAGAAAGAATTGGTCAAAAAAAAAGGACTCTTATTTAGTGTGAACAGATAAGACAATAGAGAAGTAGTCAAGAAGAAATTATAGCATGTATGCAAACCTAAATACTTTGTTTTTATAAATTCAATACACCAGCCAGAAATTAAATGTTAGAACTTCAGTGAGACAGGTCATAAATCTTGAAGAACAACTTTCTAAAGAGATACATACTAATAAAAAAGCCAAAAGCAGGAATCCTGCCAAAGACTCTCCAGCTGATAGATGACTGGAGCATAGAAAAAAACACTTGGTGAAGATAATGCCATAGTCTTTCCTTCCCCATCAAGAATTCATAGCAGAAGGACATTCCCATGTGAGAAAAACCCTTTTTTTACAAGAGAAAGGTTTGAAGAATACGGAAAGMGAATAGCTATTTTGCTTCAGTGTGAGACCAATCTACAAATATATACAGCAAATATTAACACAAGTTACTACAGAATGCTGATATTTAGAATTTTCAAGAGTTATAAGGAAATTCCAACGAAAAGTTGTGAGACTGACTAGAGGTTAGTCTTAACCKACCACCAAAATTAGTATTGATACTACAGGAATAATTATTTTTCCATTTTAAAATTTATTCTTTCTTAAAAAAGAGGCCTTAGAAATACCAGCAGAATTAATTCCATAGTGGCCAAATTGGTTGAAACTATAACTAAACCCAAGCAAAGTATATGGGTACATCAGAAAGAATAAATCCAGCTTTTGTAGAGAAGTCACTCCTCAACTAGTCTTAAAAAACCGAACTAAACACCACACCAAAGAAACCTCCTAAAACAAAACACACAACTAAGCAGTCACAGAGAAAAATACTCTCATCTTACTCAGGAGGATARCTGTCAATCATACCACAACAGCAAGGAAGTAACTGGATTCCACAACAATCTACTCTGCAGTATACTCATAAATGAGGAAATCACTATGGAACAGTTTGCTGTTGATACAATCTAATTCAGTGACGAAAAAGTGGATGTGTAAAGACCAGGTTATGGAGACAAAAATTAATTAGTTTAAAAAGGAAACAGATAAATTAAGAATACATTCACTTACATCTGTTAAACCCRATAGCCTGAATGCAACTGCTGGCTCATAATGTACTTAACTGGCTGACTGAAGGCAACTGGAGGATCTTCAAAGATATCCAAGCAGTTTCTAGATCTTGTGCATCTACTGCTGGCCTCTGTATAGACCACACTAATATATTTCACATCAATTCACTAGCTGGATCTTTCCCACCCAACGAAAAGCATGGCTCAAACTCAAAACTACGTATATTCCAATTAGATACRTAACTCAAATTATTAAAAGAGTGGAAATTAATCACTTATGCAATATATTTGAGCATATGAGGAGCCTTTTGATCCCAGAAAGTTCTAAGTTAATAAAACATTTATGCTTTAAAAAAAATGCTACATATAAAGCAACAGTATCAAAGTATTTGAAAGAAGAGTCAGAGAGTGGGTTTTGTTGTTTTTTTCCCTCAAATCCCAGCAAATATCATAATGGCATTTTCTGATTTCTAAATATGTAGATAGACAACAGTGTCCAGCCAGTAAAGCCAGATTTCAAGTATAAAACAGGCTATGAGAAAGAATGAAATTAATGTAACTATTTTGATAGTTGGAATAATGTTGGGGTTTTTACTTTGCTAAATGAAGGTAGTAAAAAAAACCACCGAGAAGGATCTTTAAAGAGAAAAGAATTAACTTTAGAAAACTCCTTCAGTTTATTCATGCTCTCATTGTCCCATTTTAAACTAGGGATACTGTCATGGGAAGCTGGGGTATTAATCTAAATCTGTCAAATTTGTGTACCTCAATAATTCTACAAGAAAATTATTTTTGAATGTACATTGTGAAAAAATTGACCAAAAACTAAATACTGCCAAACTAACAGAATAGCACTTGTTACTAGGATAGCAAAATGTTTTCACATAAACACAAATTATCGCATAGATGTTACTACACTCAGTAGAAGCCTTCTAATTCAGTCCTTCAGTTTGTGGAGTATATTACTCAGATCTATGAGGAAAACTTCTGAAAGTGTTCTTCCAGCCACATTTCAGAAGAAATGCGTAACTGCACACTGGCCAGAAGCAGCATGTGGGACCAGAGGTTTCATGACAAGCTGATGTGTTACTATTTGACCCAAGAAAGTTCAAAGATCTGTAAATTTCTGCTTAAGTCCAGCAATTTGTTCACAATGGCAATCTGAGAGCAAACATGCTTAAATGAGCTCAAAGGAGAGATATATCTTAGAGGAAGTACATATACTKAAGGTTAATAGAACAATATCTGAAGCTCAATTAGACCAGGAAGAAGACATGCTACTCCTAATGCTTTCATATTGATCAGAAGAGATCTTATTTAAAAGCTTGGTCCTTCATGCCTTCACTGAATGAGTTCATTTCACGACCATTTAAAAAAAAAAAAAMMAAAAMMAAAAAAAMCCCCRAACTTTAATAAAMGTTTAATCAAACCCAGAAAAGGGCAACAGAGAATGATGCAGAGGTCAAGGAGAGATAAAGGAAAAACAAGGGTTTTCTGCAGAATCCTTTGTTCAGTTTCTGTTCCTTTAGTTATTTTCTGCTGGGAAAAAATTCTATCAAAAAAACCCAACAAACAAAACCAACCAAAACCAGTGTCACTAGAGAGAGCATGCTCTTTGCTAAAGATATTTCTAGATTTGTAGGTAAGTAAGACTGAATATAGTGGGTGCTAAATTCTTGTTTTCTCAGTAGAGGAAACACCTTAATCAGCACATTTTGTCTCCAAGCTAATGTTGGATAGAATTTTTTCTTCAGATAAATGTGATTTATATTTAATTTGATTGCTAGTACAATTGTGAAGTAAACATGGCAAATATTTGGCACTTCCTTATTTGGAGTGTTGAGGGAAAAGTCCAGATTTAGCCAGTGAAAGTAAGAATTTCAGAGGTGTGCCATGCTATGACCTTGAAAAGGGACATTTAAGCATAATAATAATGAATTAAAAAAATGAGAATCAACATCTGCTGAAGCAAGATTTCCCTACCCTTCAATGCAGCTTGGAAAAGAGACTATAAAACAAGTGAGAAGGGATTCTTTTATGATGGATCCGTGTGTAATTTACATTACACACTTCATACTCTTGATTTTCAAACATCTTTCCCAACATTAGTCCTTGACTCCCTGAAAAAGTCTGTCATAACAATTTGTAGGGTGCATAACAGAAAACTTGCTCTATGTATACCATTCATAGCAGAGCAAGAGAAACCCATTTCCTAATAATCCATCAATACAAGAAGATGGCAAAGAATTTACAACAGTTTGATAAGAAAGGAGGCATGCTGATTTTTAATTAACTTATATACAATTTTGTTATGATGTGTAGAGGGACCATCAAAAGACTGTGTTTTGTTATGATGAGAGAGAAAGAAGGATTTCTTATTCATCTCAGTGATGAAGCTGGTGCCACTTTATCAGAGACACTCACGTATTAAATCCACTTCTTCCATGACAATGAAACAATCCACTGAGCAAGAACTTTTTTAAATAGAGAATAGAGCTGTACTGTACAGTACGATTAGAAATGTAGTGGAATTTATTGTGAGATCTTTCAAAGTAAAAAAACAATATTAATAAAACATTTCTGCACATTTACTTTACATGTAAAGTCCAACATCTCTAAACCCCCTTGTAACGTCTTCATTTCATTCTGTGTATACTGAAAAACTAAGTTATAATCTAATACTTGGTATTCTTTAAGTGTATCTCAGTGCACACAAGTTTAAACATGAAAATTCTCAGTTAAGACTTTATTTTACTCCCATAAAAYATCCCAAAATAAGGAACATTTCAGATTTACTCCCACATTGTTCTTATTCTAGACAGCCAGGTTGTTTTAAACCTGAGAAGTACTAGAAGTTTTCCTTCTAAACATTTAGAATTTTGAATATTTAAATTTCAGCTAMGGGAACACTCCAGAATGATCAGCTGCTGCACTAAAGGCAACTTTATGAATAGAAGACAAAACCCACCAGAAACTCAGAACACTTGGAAATACATAACACTTGCATCACCACCTAATAATCATTACTATTCCATAGTAAGGCAGCTACAGATGGATCAAGAGTGTCATATGCAAAAATTACCTCTGCAATATCGATCAGTTGGTCCAGATACCCTCTCCCGCACTACTTTGTCAGCATTCCTAATCATGTTATTCTTTTTGCACATTGTYTTTTCTTCACCATCTCACCCACCTCCTTCAGTATAATTCATCACCAATATTCCTTCACTAATTAATTTCATATTTTGCTATTCTCCTCTTGCATCCCAACAAACAAAACAAATCCATACCAAACAAGTCTGCATACTACTTATCAGATAATTTACTTCAAGCTTTCACTACCTTTCATCGCTGTAATATAGTGCTAGAGACATGGAATACTGTTTTAGAAGCTTGTGGTGGRAATCTCAATCATGCTTTGAAACCTATGATACTACAGAACTATCATCATTAAATAAAAATTAACCAATAATAAAAACCCATCAAAATTTCAATTATAATCAGATCATAAAAGAATCTCTGTATGTCACCAGGTGCTTTAGTTAAGAGGCTCTTCAATCAAGGAAGCACAATCTTTATTTTGCCATAGCTGCCTATAAATCCAAAAGGGAGATGTAAACATACATACACTAGACTAAACAATGGCTAAATAGCAGCCACTATTCACTCTCCCACTCATACATACCATGCAAGTCTGTGGGAAAAACTTACGATCGAAGCTAAGGAACTCAAGTAAAGTTTTCTGAAAATAACCCAGAGCTGACAAGTCAGTAGGAGGGCCTGGATGGTTTCAAGACACAGTTTTTAACCAAGATGTAGACTTTCAACTGTGGAGATTTTTTGTGTGCSTGTGTGCCTTTTTTGTTTTTTAATGAAGATTTACATCCTATAYTTGGATAAATTACTTATAAATTACTTATAAATTAACCAAATTAATTACTGAGTGGATAAGCAAGATTCCGGACAAAACAGAATGAATTGTCAACCAGCCAATATGGTCTATGCTCTTTTAAACAAATGCCTCAGTACTGGTTCTAACAGGTCTGTAGGACACAAACATATTAGAAGACTCATAAAAATACTTCTCCCCAAACACTAAATGCAAGCACATCTTGAGATTTTGGCTATTTAGATGAAATAGAGCCGAGACTATCAACTGCTGAAAGTTGTATTTCAGCCAGTTTTGATTTTTGTTTTGATACAATGTTTTTCACATGCAGACAGGTACTGAATTTGATATCTAAGTTCTGTGTAAGCATGTATGCAATTTCATGTAAATTGTTGGACTTCACCAAAAAACAATACTCATATTGTTACTCATCAAAATTACTCATCAAAACATATATACAAAAAAACATTTGGAAGTCTCATATGTGCAGTATTGAGATCACCCAGTCAGCATACATCGAAATGGCTTTTGAAATTTCCAGAAATGATAACATCTACCTGGGTGTACAGATATGTAGCTTATTTGTTGACATTTTTGTGTCCCAAAAAGCTGAACAGGGGTCTAACAAATGATGTATTAATACGGACTTTCACCAAGTAAYAGAAAGAAAGCTGGGTGAAGTATATTGTCGCTCAGCTTTACAAATCATTTAAATTTAACTAACTTCTGTGTTTTTTAAGCACAGGTAAATTTGTATATCTGCCTTTGTGTACTTCAGTAACACTGGCACTGCATTTAGCATTCAAAATCCTACCCATGGAGAAGCTTAGATCATATTCTATTAACAGCCCCAAACTTTAAGTTATGTGCTGTGTCTCTCATATTCTGCAAAATATAAAACTATCCCAGATGTGTGCTAAGAACTAGTTCCAAAGTAAAATAAAACCTTTTAATTAAGGAAACATTGACTTTTATGGTTGCAAATCAGAAGAGCATTTTACTAAATGCTTAGCCTGTAGATTATGCTTCTTTAATTCACAAATTGACTGCACCAGGTCACCTTTAAGTAATGGAAATCTCTGTTTAAACATTTTTTTGGCAGTGGGCACAAAGCATTAGATCTTATTTCCAAGACTTACCAGCTGGGTTTTGTCATTAACATTTATTAACAATCTAAGATACGGCTTTCAGCGTCTAATCCTCACTACACAAATGTTTTGTATAGCTCTCTAGAGAGCTTTGGTGTGACAAATTACTGGCACGGATTACAGCCCTGTGGCTATTCACCAGAGGCAGTGCAAAATTAACATGGTACTAATCCAATTCAAACAAGAAATTGGTCAGACTATGCACAATTGCACAAATCATCCGAACTAAAGCAAATCTAAAATTCCTTAAGCAACTGTTTCCAAATTTATATTTAAAACACAGTAAATGGTTTTTGATCAGATTTGCTTCAACTTTTATTTGGCTCTTTAAAGCCACTTAAAACCTTTATCAATATAGTAAGTATAACATGAAACACAAGTATAAAAACCACAAGAAACTACACTGAAAGGGTTTGTTCTACYGCAGAAAAGTTTTAGGTAGCATAATTCACTGTACATGCCAACTTATTTTATGGTTCAGACTTTCAGCGAGAGGTTCAGTTGAAACATCTACATATATTAATAAATTCAGATCATCAGGTCTATGGTGCTGAAATTTGCAATAAGAACCTGATAGTGATATGCTAGTGTTAGTGTGGCAAGTGACAATCTTTACTTTTATTCTGCAGGAATTTTTAAGTATGGCAAGAAAAACTAGGTTGGATATTTCATGACTGCTGAAGAAATTGTAATCAGAGAGGTAAGATTTATATTCTTCCTCCTATCACCTCCTCAAGCATAGATGCTTCAGAAATAGGATATGACTCCTATCCCTGGGCAAAAAGATACAATTTGAAGACTGCAAATGAGGATTAGCTTTTCCTTACTAATAATGAYTATAGTGTGCATTGATTCTCTTCAAACAGAAATACAAATTTAAAAAATATTAAAAATTAGAAGAGCATCACTTGAACTTCTTACTGTCCTAAACTTGAATATTCTATCAGTAGGAACGAAGGAGGTACTATAATCTGTAACAAAAGCCAACACGGTCCCTCAAGCTAGAATGATGTGAATACAAGTAATAAAAATCTTTTTCTAAACTTGAATTCTGAAACTTCATGTTCACTTCAACTTCATAAATGTTGATTCACTACTTAATTTGGATTAATGATTTACTAATTTGTTAGGGACAATGGGAATGCTAGCCATTCTCAAGCACATTGTTTCGCTAATGTTTACTGGAATTCATGAAAGACAGATGATGACAAAATACAGCACATAATATGGATACAGCAAGGATGAAATTGCTCTACTGCAAGTTTAAACRGAGTAATTTCAAGTCAGAAATATATGACTGTATCTATATAGATGCCCACAGACGTGTTAAAGCTTAGGATTCAAATAGCATGTCACATTAGTATGCGATTAGAATTTCTAAAAGCAGAGGAAGATTTTACTTCCAGTTTAAGTTTTCTGCAAATTTTCTTCATTTTACAGCATTCATCAAAACCAAAATCCTTATTTCTAAAWGCAAAGAAGAATTGCTTCTCACCTTTACCCTTCATTCATTAYACAATTAAAATAACAGAACAACTATTAGGATTGCAACAGACCAAGATGGTTGGGATAGTGGAAAAGTATTTTTCTGAAGTGCTTATTCAGCAGTATTTGGATTTAAATTAAACATTTATTATTTGAATCACATTTACTTTTAACTGTTTCAGCCTTCTTTGCATGTCTGAGCCTTTGTCTTTCTGATTTCAAAGTAAAATACAAACCAGTTTTGCAGTTCTCATTTTTGTTAAAAGCACAGCTCAGAGCTTAACTTCGCAAAGACAACACTAATAACACGAAAACTAACAGTATTTAACCATAATCCTTGTAGCTTCCAACACAACAACAACTTGTCTGTCTCATGTAACCAAAGAAAACCTGCATACCTGTTTCAACCTTGCAAGTTCTTTCAAAGCCCTTGTCCATTGTTGTTTGTAGTGGAGCTTTGACTTGGTAGCTGACTCYAACTTTCTTTCAAGTTCAACCTAAGAGCAATTAAAATCATATCAGCTGAAGCAGTAATAGCAGTAACAATCACWGAAAGATGTATATATACAAAGGGTCTGGTTTAAGAAAAGTGTTTATGTAGTGCAATATACAACATCATCTAAAACTGTTATACAATATAACATAAATATTATGGCACAAGAACATTTTCTTGTTTAAAATATAACCTTATTTTTATTGGATGTCCGTCTACACAAAAAGAAAAGATTAGTTTTTAGCACTAAATCTGCTGATGTAACTTTTAAATTTAAGATTCTCAAATTAACCATCCCCCCATCCTGTTTTTGTTCAAAGTACGGTTACAAACACTAATTTAACAAAAAGTGCTGTTGGAGAAATCTCTCCTAAAAAGGTGCATAAATTTTTTMGTTTGCTGATGAAAGATTTGTCCTACATTCTTTTCTCTGAAATACCCATCTGCTTAAACCATTCTTTAAAATGTTCATATGAATCCTTGATCTTACTAACTAAATAAATCTTTAAAAGTTTTAACCACTAAAAAAAATTTCATTTTATTATCTGTGCAAAAGGAGTTTTGTATTAAAAGAAATGAAAACCCTTATGAAGCACAAAAAAAMCCACAAAAAGAAAATATCAGGTATTTCCAATTAACAGCCTAAATTATTTTAGTAATCTGAAAAMGCCTATTTTCATTACATTTGTGAAGATCTTAAAGCACTGATTTGTTTAATTCATCTAACAAAAATARGAAATCCAAAAAATTTAATGTAAGAGCTTAAAAAGTCTGTAGAGATATAAAAATATTTTGCATCAGTTGTTTGCAAAATTATTAGAAGTTATTGAAGAATACAGTAACACACAGACTGGCCATATAACTGAACGTATTTTGTGCCTAGAAGCCTGGCCTAATTTTTTTCATTTGACCAACAATTTTACTCAAACCTCACAATAATTCTGAATATTTAATGCCCATACCTGTGATTTTAAAAGARTATTCTCTACTGAGGGCATGTATGGCTTTTAAGAAAATCAACTTATGACAGGGATTCCATTCTACTGATAAGTAACAATCTCTTTGCAGAAATACTTAATTAACAAAATGCACATAATGGAATAGCAKTTTAAATACTCAAGAAAATCCTCRTCTTTCTTTYGTTTTCTGAACAGAATGTTCACAAACCCCATCATAAATAATTATTTAAATATATAGTTTAGAGTTTTTTCCTGTTTTTGCCTGTAACATTACTGCTTCCTCTGTAGAAATAAGGCTATTGTTGACTTTGTGTCTGAATATTTAAAATCCAAAGAAATAACTGGAAAAAGTAAACCAAAATGGATACGTTAACCACTGCATCACACAGTATTATTCTACATCCCTCTTATCAGTGAACAAACCATTGTGATAGTTTTAAAGTACTAGAAAAATCAAATATACCTTTTCTAAAGTGAGAAGATTTATTTCCGATTGTAGCTGGATTTCTGGTTTGCTACTTTGCTGTTCTTTGTAATGCTGGAACTCCTTCTCCAAAGTCTTATGCTTATTTTCTGCCTCATAAAGCTACATTCAAGAAATCAAGATGCAAGTTATCAGAAAACCCCATTCACAGACAAATAATTAGATTACAGTACGTAATTTACTTCTTAGTTCCTGGAATGAACATCTTATTGTCAATTATCTGACATAAAACAGACACTGAAAGTTACACATTCATAATTAATGATTTCTTGATGATGGCACACAGCAGTGCTTCAGTAGGAAGAGTTTTAAAGAGCATCTTTGCTCAGTACTGAAAAGAAAAAAACAAGTCTGTCCTCATATACATAAGATCAAGATTTATGCACATTTTTGTTCACATTTCTAAAACAACTTGCAGAAGAAATATAGGAAGCATAACTACTAAGATTTACACATCTTTTAAAGAAAGCCAATGTTATCTACTATATGAAGTTTTATTACTTACTCAATTTCACAGCATAACTTTTTTAGGAATGTCTGCAAAAGGAAACGACTAATACTTTGTACAGCCAAATGATTTAGAAGAAAGGCTGAAGSAGAAAGGCTTCAGTGACTAATGACTTAATGCTGTGTACCTCTGCCCTTACTGTGTACTTCCACAGTTTCAAGACGATTTTTATAAAAAGAGTGCTTTGCATTTTACACAAAATGGGTAATTTGAAAAATTATGCCAATACACAATTGCTACAAAGAAAGTAAGGAAGTCAAATGTTTAACATGTTTTATAATGTGTTAAAAATACTGAGAACTTTCTGTAAAGTTTTCTTCTTCTGTTAAATATTATTCAASTATAAATACCTTAATACACCTCATGGAACTGATGTATTCCATAACAGAACAGGATCCCACATGAAGATCTTGTACTTATATTTAACTAGATTATGCAAGTATTTCCATGAATTGTATCCAACAGTTTAGAATACTGGGTGAAAATTCTTTGGAGAACTCATTTCTGTTTCAAAGCAAACAACTTGTACTAGTACATCAATATTTTAATTCTTTGGATATTTTACCTAGGTAACCTCTATTTTTCTCATAAAATTCTACTTTTGCATTTATAATTGTTACAGAATGGATGGAAGAAAGCAAAGATGTTTCATAGGGAGCCATACAAAGCCATAGTTCACAGCCATGTTTTTCACACATAACTACAATAGCCAACTTAAACAAAAGATATTGCTATTTATCGCCTTTTAATTTTTACCTATTATCACCWTTTCATTTCTACCTATTTCTTTTTGAAGCAGACATGATGCCAATGACAAGGAGAAATACCAGCTTTCCCTAGAACTTCTATGACAATTTTTATCTTCTTGTTTGGCTCTGGAAACACTTTCAAAAACTGAGTTTTTCTCATGAGACCTTAGAACTGTGGACTATGAGGAAACTATAAAAAAATCACACTAATAAAGCATGATTTCCTCACTCAGAAAGTAAGGGTGATGCTCTTTAAGGTAGATGTTTCAAGGATCTTCTCTTGTACATAGAGGGCTTACCTCCAAACAAGTTGAATTATAGAGTTCTCTAAATGTCTAAGTGTGGAAATTTTGTATTGACAAAACCCTTTAAAAGGTAAGATCCCTCATTCCAGAACATTCCATGTTAAAAAACTGGAAACAACACAAAAAAAGGCACAAACAATAAACTCCACACCCAGAAAGRTCTTAAAAAAAGACCCATCTGGTAGCAACGGGAATTTTCTGCTTGTCCACATTACAAAGAACAGGATCCTGGAGTGAAACTCCAAAGGAAGCAAACAAAACCCCACCCCCAAAAAAAGCAAAAGAAAAAAGCCTGTGTTATGCAGAGTATGTGGCAACAACCACCACATATTGAAGCATAGCAGAACAGTACAGAGGAAGACAGCCAGGATCCTCTGGAAAGAATGGCCTTCATACAAAACAAGACAAAACATAGCAGGGCTTGCGTTTGGAAGAGAAACAGTATGACAGCCACCTATGCAACCAGGAACAGTCAATAAAGAATTCTTCATAATTATTAAGTAATGTGCTTAAAACGAGCAAAAAGAAGTTTCTAAATATATAAGACATAATTAAATTTTAGAACTCAGTGTGATAGGAYGTTGCAATACTAAATACTTTTAAAAAGGAACCGTATAAGATCATGAAGAAAACTCACTGAAGGCTAGTAAATATGAAACTGACTCTGGTGAGGASTACAAAAAACCCTTGATGGTATTGCTGGATATATCAAAATTGCGGGGTTTTTTCATTGTTCCATTTCTTATTTTCTTGTCCTCTAAATCCAGCCATTTCTACAACATAATCCTGAGCTACATGATCTTTAGTCTCAAAACTGTATGTCTGTTCTGAATAYGAAAAATAAAGCGATTGTGATGTTTTATTTAGAAAAGATCTGTTGAAGCTAAAATTGGTTAGTGGGAATGAAAAGAATGAATATGAAAGAAGAATACTRGCTGGTGGCATTTGGTCACTTAGGCATGAAGAACTACTGGGAGCCTTGTCTGGACTGGTAGCTSCCAAAAACACATATAAAATTTAAAAGTGATCCACTTATTACTTGGAAGGGGATTGCATTCTGCAGTTTGAAATTGCTCATCTCTATTCAGTGACCGTTCAAGTAGAATAAAAACCCCAAAAAGATCTAGCACAACTCTTCCTAAGGTCGAAAACATGCCTTTGGCTGACACAATTCTTTAAACAGTGAAAGCTAACATGGGACTATCACTATCACATCTCAGACATGAAAAACACCAAAACAAGTAATTAATCTACAAAAACTAAGTACTTTGCAGAACACTTAAGCATTAGTGAGATTTAATCCACTTGAGAACAAACTGAGTGTCCAATGCTGTAACAGCTGAAAAAAGAAAGTACTAACTTCTACAGTTTATCAAGAAGAAACTAGACTATCCATATTGTGAGTTCCAAAGCTAGCTTACAGGACAACAAAACACGGTCTAAATTTTCGGTTTAGAAACGTTTCTCAGAATAGAAGATAGCAGTAACAAGATCATTTCCCCCTCTGCCCCAATAAGCATAACAGAAAYACTCTTTTGTAATAACACTAACTGCAGTCAAACTGAAATAAGTTACTGAAATGCACRCTGCTGCTCAAGTTCTTCATGTAAAGTATGCTTTTAATTGAAACTTGATTTTCAGTGTTGAAAAAATAATTACAAGCAATTGCAAACTGGTCCTATCGCTGAGCAAGACTGACAAGGATGGATCTCAGCACAGAGAAAACTCACCAAACAATTGAAATAAAATTACAAAGTTGCCAGAATACACAAGACCCCAAACCAATGCTTAACTTAGTACACCTTGAAAAACGGTCACTTAATTAGAAAATAAAAGTGTACTTACCTGTTGATGTAAGCGAAGCTTGTCTTCTTCCAGTTGTTTAATTTTTGACCTTTCTAGCTCAAGCTGGTGCGCACATTCCTCTCTAGCTCGCCGCACAGAATCCTGAAGCACCTGCAGATTTCGTTCATGTTCTGCTTGCAACTCCTTCTTTACTCTTTGAAGCTTAAAAAGAGAGACATATTTGTATTAATCCACAGGAGTGAAAGCATTACTTTAAGTCTCAACTATTRCAGCTTTTTTTAAAAAAAAWTATTAATTTTAGAAATGAAACAATAAATTCCTGYTGTCCATATGTTTGCTATATGCGTTCTTACTGAATTTCAGTTTAACTAACAATCTGCCAGTTATTACATTACAAATAAGCTCCTGTTTGACYATTGTAAAAACAGAGCTAACTGTAGCTCTTCTGTGCATTCTACATATTTCTACAGGATAGCTCAAGGCAAGTTTCACATCCCCCTTCTTGCTACAAAGTGAAAAGCTAAGTACACCAATTCACTGAAGACTGTGAAAGTCACAGCTATAGTCATCATGTCTTTAGGTCAGTAACACTGCACTGCTCAAACTAAGCCTATTGAGAGAATTTCTCATCAATCTAAACAGAACAATCCTCGACGTGTTTGAACTTTCTASAAAGGTTCTACTGTCCCAGATAACTGCCAGCTGAATAGAAAGTTCTCCAATGGCCCATTTCTCAAACTGTGTAATTGCTAACTAAATACAACATCATTTCATCTGGACGTTTTTGGAACCCATTGCTTTTTATCATCTCTAAACTCTYAGGTCAGAATCTCCCTAAACTCTGAGAAAGTTATTAGAGAAACATACATGAGATTCAAAATAACTACTTCTACTCAGACTGAAATAAACACTAGCACAAGATTTTTTTGCATAGATGTTAAAGTCAGAACATTTTTGATAGCACGAACTGCACCTTAAGGTACAGATAGCCTGAGCACTGAATAGGACACACGTTCAGCCTGCAAGTCACTGTCGGAAATTCTCAACTTTGTCACAAGCATAAAAGGGATTAGTATGATAGAAAAATTAATCTGAGTTACAAGGAGGAAAGAGAAASTTTGTTGGACATCTAAAACACGAAAGTATTTTACCTATATAATGTTTGCTCTGAAGTATAAGAATAGGCAGTTTATTTTCTTTTCATATGACTAGCACTATCCCTGAAGTCACACCCCACTTCCTCAGATTGGGGGTGTTCAGTRCAGTGGTAGTTACTGGTTTCTCTTGCATTCTCTTTCACCCTGTCACTATTGAAAAATAAATAAATAGAAGTAGGAACTCTGAAAATATTGGATAACAAAACTTGGACAACTGGACTTTCTCCCAGATCTGTCACTTTCTCCTATTTCAATTAGTAAATGTAGCAATTACTTTTTGAAATAAGGCACGCTCGTGTATGTGTACAATACTCACTTGACAGCAACTGAACTTGAGATATGCTAATGTTACATAAATGACTGCACTGACACTTCAATTCTGTCAAGAATAGAAGTTTCAGAGTTCTGTAATTCTGACGATTTTAAAAGTCACTGAACTTCTGTATCAGCAAAAAAGTGCAGTTGTAACAAAACTTGGCTTAATTATTAGTGCTCCTCTATATATCACTATGAATGTGGCTATTTAAGCTCTTATACACAAGACACAATTGTCACTATGTGAAAACCCAAACCTTATAGAAGCAGCTAATGCAACTAATCGTTAATRTGACCAGCTTTTACCTCTGATTCAGCACTAAAAAGCTGTCGCTCTCGCTTATCCAGATCTCTCAGGGTTTTCTGAAGTTGTTCTTCCAAAATATTATATTCTGCTACCTAAAAGAAGGAGGGGAAAAAAATTATAAAATATTGACTGTTTTTATTTGAAAACTTATATTTAAAACAAATTTTCAGCTCTTACTTAAGAACTTGGAATAGAGAATCCTTCTAACTAATGGGTTGATATGCACAGCCAGGTTGTAGAAGTGCTTTTTGACCATGCAAGTAAAAGGCAACTAAAGTTAAAAAGCTCCCATATACAGCAAGGTAACCTAAATAATTTCTAATAAATATTCTATGAATAATGGCTACTTTTCATTTTATTTGCGCCGCTGTACACTAGACGCAATGTGTATCAGTAGGAGCAAGGGCTTTGTGTGCACCCTTTGTTACATGTTACCAAACACTTTGTCAAGTTTATAGCAATTTAAAGACTTTCAGCAAGTATAAGGAGGAATTTCCTTACCTTTTTCTTCACTAATGCCTCTCTCTCCCTATCTCTTTTCTTCCATTCCTCTGCAAGTGCTTGCATATGGACCATTTCCTTCTTTTTAAGCTTTAARAGGTAAAAAAAAGGAAACAAAAACCCGAGACAAGAAAACCACATCAAAATTGCTGGTAGTGCACCTTTAGAGCGCTAGCAGACCTAAGTCTTGAAGTAAGAGTTTTGTATGCTGACTTGCAAGGTATGAGTCTCATAATGAAAGGTCTTTCTTACACTGAAGTACAAAATGCAAAGTAGACACATTTTTGAGAAAARTAACCTAACAAATAGCTGCTCAATTCTCAGATTCTTTTAAAAACAAGCACATGACAAAAAATACCTAGGATGACTTCAAGAGCAGACAGCAATGGTTTTTGAGAAAAGACTAAAGGAATACAGAACTAGCATTTAATGTGAATAGTTTGAATCTTGAAGCTACTTTTTTTTTATAGAGTAATGGGAATGATGGGCATGATGACAGTATTCTGCACTTCTAACTCAGCACCTCCCTCACTCAAAAATTAATTTTCCTCCTTAAGAGCATGGAATTTGTGGATGGAATAGTTTACATCTGAAGTTTTAATATCTGTATGACTAAAATTTAGTTCTTATTTGAAACAATGCCAAAATAAAATAGAATTAATGTTATTCTCTGTACCTGTTCTGCTAAACCTTCTCTGGCAATCATGTAATTAAGATAATAAAGAGTAAAAACCTGATTTTCAAAAATGTCCTCTTGCATTTCCTTCCACATTTCTAACTCGAGTGCTGCTTTGTATTCCAGAGTTTCTCGAGGTTCTGGATGGTCCTCAGGGGCACAGCGAGGCTGAGTATGAGGGACAAGCCGTTGTGGACCAGCACCTACATCCTGATACAATAAGAACGGATTTTTCATTGGAATGTCAACTTTTCAAAAAAATGTTCAGGGGAAAAAGAAAAGATRCATATAAAATTTACTTGAGAAGAATCTGACACCATAATTTCTTGCACTTTCACAAGTCCATAGTCTTCCAAGGTGATGGCATACGAAAGCTCTGCTATTCTGTTGCCTGACCTAAAAATAGCATTAGAATGTTATTTTAATGAAAACTGTCTACAGACACAGAAAGAGAATTATAAGACAACACACAGACCAGCAAAGCTTAAGTGCTATTTGTTTTGTGTAAGATCAGCATCTCTAAACAGTTGCCTATGTGAGAGCTCAAACAGACTCTCCTACGTATATTGTTAAGGGCTAGTTTATGAATCCACAGTAAGCTTTCTGATTTAAACGATAACTTGTAATTGGGAACCTATTAAACTAACAAATTATAGATAATTACTATAATCAAGACATCACTGCAACAAAGGAATAATCCAAAATTGTACCTACAGTCCTAAATCTTTCTAACAATATAACTGCTCATACAGGCATTGCAGCTAACTTYATTTTAAGATACTCACTAAATTTTTTTAGTTTTGCTTTTTTAGACTTGAATGGTAACTTTTTGGTTATCCACAAAATAACTAACTTAGCATATCATCTGTGGTAAGCCATCCTTGGATTACCAAAAAATACATTTCTGGAAGCTTCAGCACAGGGAACTGGCAACTTTAAATCCACTTAGAGATTAAATATTTACCTGCCTTTGTACAGTGAAACAATACCTAGATAGCAGGTATTTTAATAAAGTAATTTGAAAGTACTTGKGGTTTCTGCATAAGAGGAAGAGTTTGTCTACAACTGTCTCACCTCTAGTCATAGTCAAAACACAGCAAACAAACCCAGTCTTCTGCACAGAAAGACATTAAAAGAAGGAACACACAGAAGTCGTGTAATTGGAAATTATCAAAAGTCTCCACATTAAGGTACACTGAAGTCTAGGCCTTGGTCAAAGCAAAACCTGTCATTTCAGTGATAAGCACTCAGTAATGCAAAGGCAATTACACAATCACTTGACACCTGAAAGCTACAAAACATAACAAACAACTGGATGCTGCAGGAATTAACCATGTCATGGCTGTAGTTTTCACAGAAATTCACTTTCAGAGAATATAAACAGACAACAGTAAAATACTTTTTACAAAAGTTCAGCGTTCTACAGTTATTTGCAAGGGAAAAAAACCTAATAAATGCTTGTATTTTACACAAGTTAAAAGAAATTGTTGCATTGAATTCTTACAACTTTCCATCAGTCACTAACTAAAAAAGAAAACAAAATTTATATTAGTGAACCTCAGCAATCTGAGTAACCAAGTCTGTTTAACATACCAGTGTAAGAAGAAGGKTACACCAACAAGAGCAAGGATAAGAAAGGGTCAACACAGCAAAATGCAGACCCGATTACATTTTGATAATGCCATCTAGTGGTATGTTCTGAGCAAAATCAGGTTTCATTTAACAAAGGGTGAAAGTATGAACCTTAACATAGAGTGAGATCTTATAGTAAGACTTCACAGATTCAGGCCATGCTGGCTTTCACAAAACAGTTTAAACAAAGCCAGAGGTTAAGCTGGGGGGAGGGGGGGATACCAGTCACCAACATGAAATTTCCTGGGAGTTAAACATTACGTGCTTATTTATCTGTTGCATTAAAGGTTTAAAACTGACCTCAGTCTTAATATCAACTACATTTACTAGCAAGACCATAATCAAGTTCCATCATCACACAGAAAAAGATGAGCATCTAGACACTGATTGTGAGCACTAATCATCCTCAGCAAGGACAGAGGACAGAAGCAACTACAAATTTTTATATATATATATATATATTTATATATATTTTACCCCATAACTGCTCTATGAACATTTACCCTTGGACAGAATATTAACTAATACTGCTCCTTCTGATGTACACAAGCTCAAGCCCCTGCTTATTATCCTAAGCAGGAGAKCTCTACGGACATATCTGTCCTCCTAACTTCCACTGAAGTAAGTTTTATCTAAAAGMGTACTACAGATGAAACAATGTTAATTATTTTCTGAAATATTAGYACTTTCTGTAATTAAGTAACTTACTCAAGGAAGTGCCTCAGGAACATTTTTTTCAATTACTTATTTTTTAATCTGTCTGTGAAGTTTAATTTAKTCAGGATCATGATTATATAAAGGTTTATTACAATGATTTTGGTAGTAGCATGGGCATTGCAAAATATGATTTTGGCAATTTAGCTTTTCAACTCTTAAATACCTATTTCCCCTCTCCATATTGCAGTACTCCGCAGTCTGTTTACCTAATCTAAAAACTAAGCAGGAAGAGCTTGTCCTTTTTCAGAGAAATACTAAACAAACAAYTCTACAAAACTTGCTACAGAGTTATGTGTTTTTTAAACAGTTTTACCCTTGTGCTGCTGTGACACTGACTGTTTCATTACAAGTCTGACGCCAGCATTGTTCACCATTCCCGCCCAAGAAGCGGGTTTTTAATGAAGCCAAAACATTTGAAAGCTGAAGCCTTGCCACCCCTAGAAGTAAGTCTTTGGCTGTTTTATCCTTGTGCCACAATTCAACCAGCAGAGGCAATCTGAAACAAAGAAGTGATCTTAATGTCAGGCATAAAAGAAAAGAAGCATTTTTTTTCAGACGAATCTCACTTTCTTAAAGTAACTTCCCAAATCGGTGATGGTTACAAATGTCAGACAATGAGATGGTTTTACTCCCTGTCACTTAGAGGAATGAGACCGAYTGACTTGGTATTTTTTCCATCACTTGGTTCAGTCAGATCATATTYCTTTTTTTCAATTATTAGGGAATAACAATATTACAGTGAAAGTGACTGACAGAATAATGTTAAAAGAACGTGGTCATCTTCAAATGTATACAAATTAATTTTAACCACTGTCACTCAAAATACATCTCCCTCCACTTCTTTCAAAATACCAGTATTTCGATAATTCTTTTTTTACATCCTAATCATTTATTGAAAAGTGGTGGAACTACTGGAAGAACTGTTTCACATCCCTCAACACTGTGAACTACTTTCCAGGTACCTGCTGTATATTCAAAGGTGTCATATGGTCATTGCATATTAAAAAGAAAAAAATTACATGTTTCAAGTAGTACTTTGTCAAAAACTTGCTATCAAGTTTTACTTTTAAAATTTACAGCAACTGCACTTGTTCCTGTAAGCAACAATACTTAAGTATGCAAGAGATAAAACCAAGAACTGTAGAATTCCTGGCTTCAAATGTAATTAATAGAGAAACTGGAAGTGTAGGCTATTAAGTATTTATTGGCACTAGCACTTGAATTATTTACTAAATTCTTGAACTCATAATCTTAATGTGATTGCATTTACGAAAAAAATCTAGAAGTGTAATCATGAAAAAATTGCAGGTTACTACCTGAAGAATGTCTCCTGAAGCTGATGAGGCACAGTTGCAAAGTCAAATGCACAATATGACTTYGGAAGAAAGACTTCCATGTTCTTTCTGACTTCTACAGGTGGACTTGTCATAATGGGTGCTGCACTGCCAAAAAATGGATACGAGTACCTAATAAAACCAAAAATAGTAATTCTGTAAGTAGATAACTATTTCTTATACCTTCTGCAACAGGAAAAGCAGTTTAGACATAATTTACTAAAGTGTAACTTGTATCAAAGTTTGCAAAATTTATACTAATTCATACAACAGTACAATTTGGTTCTCAAGTATTCATATCTTCATTTACCTCAGGACTGATCCTGTTTCCTCGCACTGCTGTTGTTTTGACAAAAAAAAAAGCTTTAATAACCTGTATGCTCATAATCAGATGAACTCATATTTTACTAAAATTCTGCAATTGTTATATTAAGTGAGCAGCGAAATAGAAGAAAAATTTATATTCACATACAGACTGTTACTTGAGAACATTTGTAACTATACTTACAGTTAAGCCTAGACTAACATGCAGCAATTGATAACTAAGTATACATATACACAGCATCAGAACCATTCAAAAATTCATTAGCTTTTAATTTCTATGTTAGTTTAATTGACTAAAAGAAAAGTAAAACAATTTTACCAATATGGCTTTCAATGTGGTCTGAAACTATTGGCACATTTCAATGTATGACACACTAACAAAGGGGGAGGCCATAAACCTCTAACTTCACTGATGGCAAACTGACAATGCCAGCTGAAAGCCAAGTTCCTAATAAAATAAAAGCTCCATCAAATTATGCCACCCTTTATAAAAATTGTGAACTTCACCTTTTGTGGAGTGCTGTTGAAAGAGCTTGTTTTAGACTGGCAGAAAATAATGTTTCCCCATCTACAGTGAATATGCAATTTTTTAACCTGTAACTTTTCTTAACATTTATATATCTGTTTATGCATGTTTCTCCTCTTCAGTTTCCTGCCACGGTCACCACTGACTAAAAAAATTCAAGTGCATGAAACAACAAAATCTATGTGTTGTTACTGCTCTGAAACAAATCACTTATTGGAATGTAACATGAAAGATTTTGTGACAAAATTCCACCACAGTATTTTGCTTTCCACATACTATTTAGTAATGCAGCCTATACAGAAAGATATTAAAGAGGCACTCTATATGAACTGTGTTTTAAAATATTCCACTCCTCCATCCCATCCCTACCTTTTCAACCTAGTTCAAACAAAATCTAAGCCCCAAGAATCACCACCACAATTGGTGATTGTGACCAATTAAAACTGTATGAATCAAAATCTGCCAGAAAAGCAGCAAATGCAGAGGCACCTCCCCAGCCAGAAATATTCAATGTTCTCAGTTAAATCCCATTTAAAGATATACTTCATCACATACACCAAAAGGGCCCTAACAGAAACAAGAAGACAAATTATAAAAACTGTTATTAACCACTGAATTCAACTACACCATCAATAATTGATAACCCATAAATATAATTTTTTTTAAACCATCAAAATCATCGCTGTATCTACAAGTCTCTTGGAGGATACTGCATTTACTACACTGATTCTCCATTAAAACTAGAATGTGCTTCCTTTGGACTCGTACACAAACTGGTGTTCAGTCTCTTACTAAAACACTACAAATATTCTTGGTGGAACATGGAAAACTGTAAAAAAAAAATTTAAAAAAAAATTCACTTCACTGATTAGCTGKAAATGTAGCCAGAAAGTAACATGGAAAGTAATTACTTTCCTTTAGACTGATGTTCCTTGTTACCTGAGCTCAGATATTCAAGTGAGATTTAATACGAATTACAGTAAAAGGTGAAGTTTTAAACACCATCTTTAATGCTGGTTAGTGATGAACCAGATGAACTCAGAAGCATTYTGCTACTGCAAATCAGCCACATAAAAAGTATGATGAAGCATATGGCAAGTAATTATTCAGATTATGAAAGTTTTGCAATCACCAAAAAATAAGAAAAATAATTTGTACCTTAAAATACAATTTATTGGAAAACCAACTTCCAGACCACGTATACTTCTTAAGTCTATTGAAAAGCAAAAATGGTGAGAAGCTGCTGGAATGACAATTTTCTGTGCTGACACAAGCTCAGAAGTACTGGACACACCCACGGGGTTGGGCTGAGATCTTGCTACTGGACCATTATCAGCTGAAAACAAAAAGGAGAATTCAAGTGCATTTTAAATAATGTGTTTTGCCCAAAATAACAAAATATATCAAAGATTATAATGTTTTAAATGCAAGTAGATAGGTTGCTTTCCTAAGAGATTTCAATTCTTCATAAAATAAATGAACATCGTGAAAAATAAMCCCTCCTTCCGTAAGTTACTGCCTCCAAAGAAAAAACACCAAAAGCCCAATATACTTTAAATTGTCTCAAAGGATTGTAATATTTTTCCTTTCTMCATTACTCTTTGAAGCCATGTAAGTTTAATTCGCTGAAAAATGTTYACATTAAGATCCAAGATATTAGATTCTTCAGAAAGATTTTCAAAGACTTCAGTTTATATTAATTGTTCCTAGCCAACTTGAGGGCGTGCATAAGAAAAAAAAAATCAGCAATTTAGGGGTTTTTTTTTTTTAATTAACTAACTTCTTTAGGGCACTTATAAAGAGAGATTAACTGGTGAATTACAGTGTTCATGTAAKGCAGCATCAACTATTGGCCCCAAGAAAAAGTTTAGCTATCAATGCAAATTAAAATGTGCGAAGCACATCTGCTTCTGTCACGGAACCCACCTACTGTGACATCCATTTTATAATTTAGGAAGCAGAAGCAACACTTAATGCCTGTCCAATTGCATCCAGGCTTCTCACACCCTTATAATGACATCCAACACTTCCTTCACCAAGTAAAACATCAAACTRGAAGTCCCACAAACAGATCTCCAAAAGGTATTCTGGAAAAATGTTTTAAGACTTTTTTTTTTACATCTTCATGTAAAAAATCTTTTTTACATCTTCATGTAGCTTAGGGGGCTACCAAGCCCCTACAAAAAGACAGAAAGAAACTGTCAGATRCAAACTCAACTGCCAATTTTAAGTGCTACTTGTTCTTGTATTTTCTTCACAATTTAAAAGATTTCCACTTTTGCCATTTTTAAAGAAATACATCATTATTAGCAGTGACTTTATTCTCTCCTCCAAGTGTTTAGTTTGCATTAATAGTAACATTAAAAAAAAAAAAAAAAAAAGCCAAAATACTTCAACATCAGCTAGTTCACAGAGGAATTAAACAATTGTAAGTGATTCAGCTAAAATGTCAGTAGATTGTTTGGTGCAAAGAAGTGGATGAGTGGAATTTTAAGGTCAYCACAAAACAAGAAGTATATATAACTTACGATTAAAAGTCATTTAAGTTGCTACTATACTCAAATTTCTTTTAATATACTAAATTTGATACATTTTGCCTTACTGGGATTTTGCAGATCTAAYAGAGGTGACTTCGCTCTGCTCTGTGATTTCAAAGCTGGAAGCTCTTCAAAACTCTGTTTGTTAACATCCTGAGGGCAGTTAGCCACCGGCCCTGAAAGAAAAATGTGAAACAACATGTTTTACATCTTAGCAAAACATAATTATATAATTAATATTACTATTCATAAAAAAGCACAATCCTGGATTTCTTAACCAGAGATTCAAACCAGCTGCTGGGTTCACAATACTTTCTTGTTACATTCCTTATAAAGAACTTAATCCTTGCTTAGATAAGATCAGTTAGGATTAAAAGAAAACTTGGCTGAATTAGCAGACAAATCCTGACAGCCCATTCTAGGACACAGAATTTCCTCTACAGAACTGGGTGTCTTTAGAACAAATCTCAAAAGACCAGCTATACAAATATCATTAGAAAAGTTATAATTCTACTTTATTCATAAACCATCTCTTCAGCAGATTCATGTTCAGTCATGTTTAGCAAAATAGCATTTTTTGAGATTTATTCTAATTATTATAGTATTTCTTATTTCTCTTCTACTTCTCTGTGACCCAGTTCTCAAATTAGAAACAAGTTTTCCAAGGGCTTGTGCTACCAAGTTCAAACAAAAAGGTTATGGATAAACAAACGAAACAACCCAGTTGCTTAGTTTTGCCCAGGAATCTGCACAATATGAACATCTGTTTTCACAAATTATTATCCACACAGTAAAGTCCTTAGAAAACTTCAARATCCCACATAACCCCACCTTTTCTATTTAATAAATGTTAACATTAGACCATTTCATCTCATTGAGCAAGTCAGTTTCTTTATGGGCATTGCAGTAAACCATCTCATGCACAACTTCAGGAAATTCCAAACACTTTTTTATGATTTTTCAAGCTGATGACCATTCACATCACTTGCAATTTACACACCCTCAAGTCCCTACTCCAGCTCTTTCAAGTGTACTTAACAACGACCATGTTCAAATCACATTTGAACATCAAAACATTTAACCTTCTGTYATTTATTTTATGATAATAATTGAGTTGTCTTAAATTTATCACCACAAATGAATATTAGTTCACAAATACACTAGAAATGAGTAGTACATGATCCAAGACCACACTGCGCAACTGGGTGAAAAATYATATGCCACGTACCCTTTTGCTTTGGTTTTGTGCCTTTTTCAAACTTAAGACTTTCCACTTCACTTTCTGTTGCTATATCTTCTTTGGAAGAACACTGGTCAGCTTGAGATGGAACATTCTGGGATCTCTGCTGCAGGCTCTCTGTTTTTGCACTAASAGGTGAAAGAACTTTCTCCTGTGGCTGTTTGGGTTCAGTTGCAGCATTCAAAGAAATCAGAGGCTGAAATGATACAGTTTCCTTATGGATCATGGCTTGTACTGCAAAAATTCTGTCTACAACATTTTCACAGTTTGAGATTATTTTTCAGAACATAGAAAAATGTCAATGAAAGGATTATTCATATAAAGCAAATAATTCTTTCAAGTTTTCTTTTACATAAAGAAATACTAAATGTGACTTAGAAACAMCAATTATTGTTTAACATGAAATCGTGCAATAGCATCTAAACCAACAATGAATGGATAAGCTATACCTGGACAGTCAAGTTCTCCCTTTGAAGAATTACAGATACACCAACAGTAGGAGCCAGATCCAAAGGCAGTTGTGGCAGTTTCTGTTTAGCTCTGTTTGGTGGAACAAGGACAAATGGTCCTTCTATTGCCACAGGGTGCTGATCAATCTCCACATTTCCTTTCTTCAGTAGTCCAGAGAGGGGTATTTCAGTGCTTCCAAGAGAGTGGTCCCCACAGCAAAGATGGATCTGTACACACACAGAGGAGATAGGAAGTAACTGGTACACGTGATTTGCACGTCAGCTGTCTGTGCACCTCCACTAAAGGTAGCACAAATACAACAAGTTATCATCCCTAACCTAGTCCCTGCATGCTGAGATGAAGAATACCTACAAAACGTCTTTTTTGAGCAGATAGGATTTGCTTACTGATAGGATGGTAGCAGAACACTGCACTGTCCCTCTGAGGACCTTCTGTAGGATAAATTCAGTGGTCTGTGGCTTCTAAACACAGCACAGATTCTTGCCCTTAATGTATACGCATATAAAATGCATGACTGCAAAGTAATGGAAAGGATTACGTCACGGTTTTGTGCATATATTTAGAACCACTTAAGAAGCAAGGATTTTTGGAATTAAGTAACTGTGGTTTTAATTCTTRGTAAACATAATTATTTGAAAATTTGATTCAACTGTTAATTGCTTACACAGCTTAATACTTATACACACAAGTAAAAGATGAATCTTAAAAAAACCAACACACACTAAGGAAATCTCTTTTTCTCAAAGCTGTTCTTCAAAACTTACATACTAACTTGCTCTTGCCCAAATAACAGTCACTTCAGTTTTGATTCAGCAGATCAGAACACTGTATTCCCATTCTTAATATTTATTTCACTTATGGAAACTGTAATGCTAAAAGGTGTCAGCTGCCATATAATACAATATATGTACTATATGCCTGTATTTGTATAAATGTGTATGTATGCATATTCACACCTACACAACTAGGTGTAAATATGTACACATATGCACACTCATACAATATGTATATACACACACCCTAGTCTGGCAACCAGCACCTTTTACAATCAAAGTCTTCATTTTTGGAAAACTGTGTTAAAGTTAAAAATCAGAACACAGTACTCTGATCCTATATCCTACATTTTAAGAAGATGAGGGAGAAGTAAAAGAAAGAAAACCGTAAATCAAAATGTGGCTCTGACTGCCCAACAACTTTCATTCAAAAAGTCGTTCTTTACACAATGCAAATATATATAATTCCTCATGTACATTTGAACATATGTATCATAAACACCTTATAAAATACTTTCAGACTGTAGAGTAAGATTAAGTTCCAAACACACCAGTGGACATTTCTCCAAAAAATATTAAAGTTGAGGCAAAAAAAAAGCTGAAACAATACAAGATTTAAACAAAAACAATCTTAAACCACCCTGGATAAAATCCTTAGAATGGTCTGTAAAATCTTAAACAAAAATAACTTTAGAAGAGTCCAGATCTACAACTTTGTGTAACTAACACTGTCTTATTTGCCAGCTACACCATCAGAAACCCCATGCCACCCTCATTCAACCAAACAGCCTCTTGTTTTGTAATCAGTTTAAGTGTAGGCCATGCACAGGTTGCCATATATACTCTAAGTACTACCTGATATTTACAATCACACGTTCATTTAGYTTGGAAAAAAACCCTCAAGTTTGCTGAGTCCAACAGTGAACCTAACACTGCCAACCTACCACTAAACCCTGTCCTCCATTTAAAAGCAAGGCTAAAGAAAAGCAATACCCCCTAACAGCCCAAATATGTCTGTAGAGTATTTAGAAACAGCATTTGCTACAGAGTGAAGAATAAAGTGAGACCTCCCTTAGTACTCACAAAGAATGGTGAGGGACAGTGATTTTAGAACTTAGGCAAAAGTGACCTGAGCAGCTGGCATGGGATTACCACAGGTAGCACAAAGCACAACTTCAGGCTGCAGATGATCTGATTGCAGTGCAAACCCTAAAGCTCAGAGCACTTGAGAGTGCCACTTTAGCTCTTTGGGAAGATCATATTTCTGCAACACCTTTTATCATGACACGTAAACCGTCTTGTTGCAATTGCGACTAATTAAAAAGACTGCACTCTACCTGAGCTGGGAAACTTACTGCTAGGATTTCCCTCGCATCAGCAAGAGAATCAACTTATATTTGAAACAAAATACGTAATATAATCTCAGCTTTGCAAACAGAAATGGTTCCCAAATATAGCCTGGGGCACATTCTATTTAATTTTCATTATTTATTTTCATTCCCATTTCAAATGAAACAGCTTACCTGCAATTTTGACTGCGCACGAAGATAAACTTGAAGAACATCTACTGTACTACGTATTCTAACTGAAGCTCGCTCTGGTTCGAAGTTTGGATTAATTAAATCAGTGAAAGGTTCGTTTGTGACATCATTTCCCAGCAATGAGTAGTAGAAAAAAAACTCTGGTTGTCGATCTGGAAGCTTCATTGTACTAGGAACTAACTGAAAGAGATGCAGAAGGGAATAATGCATCTTTTGATGTAAAGATACAGTAATTCTGAAGCACTAGCCTGGAAATTAAAGTGACCAACTGACCTAAATCCCAGCTTGCATTTCAGACATAACTTTTATATTAATACTTATATTAAAAATGTTTTAATTCTTTTAATTTAAAAAAAACCAAGCTTTAATTTACAAGCATAAAAACAACTTGCAAAATATTTTGAATTGCCTTTAAAATTCATCAACACCAAAGGCTGTAACCAACATATATTTAGTTAAATCAAGCACTGCACAAATACTCAGAAATAAGCAGTGCTTCCATAAAATATTTCCAATGTAAATAATGATTAGATACTGTTATATAATTTGTGTGATTGAATAAAAGACTGAGACAAACAGCTGTAGAAAAAATCCTGTAGAAAAACGTGAGTTCAATGCCTAAAGTGGCACAAGCCACCCAAGTACGATCACAATAAATTTACTTCTCAAGGTCCTATAATTCTGACATGGAAAATTATTTTCCCTGTAAAAAGAAAGATGACAAGACCAARGAGAGTTTATCATACACTGTGAGTTCTAGGCCAATTAAGACTATGCTGGCAAGACAGCATAAACGCAACAGCTGAAGTCTAAAACTGAAGCAATCATTAGCAACCCTCTTCACCCAAGCTAATAAGTCCTTCCCTCAGGCAATAGACGAATTTGGTCTTTCATGCTTGGGAAGTATTTCACCTTGTTTGAACTTCAGTGCATGAGCACCACATCGAAGACTTGCATCCATATACAGATTTTTTACACTGTATTGAAGTAGAGAAGTATAGATTTCATAAGAATGCATAAKTTAAAGGAAATGCAGCTTTAGCACTTTGAAAGAACTGTTTCATCTGTAATCTGACATGTCAAGGACTTCAGAAAGTTTGCAAATGAAAATTTATGTATCGAAAGTAGCACAAGACTATTCATTGAAATAAACATAGAAAACAAGTTTAAAAACCTAATTAGAAATGAGGCATGGGAGGGTGAAAGTAAGAGTGTTGGGGACAATACTTCTTAAAAACAAACAWAGCAAGGAAACAGACCTGTTCCAACTGTCTGGCAAATGCAATGGTTACAGACAAGACAAAGTGATCTCTGCAATACTCTGCCGGTCCAATTTGATGATASCCCTCTTCTTCATTCAAGACTGGCACAATACTTTTAGGGTCTAGCCCAGGAAAAAGTGTGAGTACTATGAGAGAAGAAATAAACATAAGTAACTAGTAATCTTAATTGCTGCAGTAATCTTATATATAATTCCAATTTTAAGTATTACACATGGAAATTACACGAGGAAAGAAAAACTAGAAATAAAGATCTTAATACCTGGTACCAAAACATTGCAAGACACAAAAAAAGTGCCTAGGTATACTTCAGTATACCTACGAAAAATTCTGAAATTAGCTTCTATTCACAAATGCTATATTGAACACCATACTAGACAGAAATTCTAACTTTAATTTTTATTTACTGTTACAGTAAGTATCATTACAGCCATTGGAAGTTTATTTCATTAGGCTAGTCTACCATGCTGTTYCTTTACTTTGCTCATTAAAGGAAATGCAAGATAGTAACTGCATATTGCAACCTGGTGAAAAAAGGATGATGTGTCAGTACTCATTACATAGACCTTTAGAATGTTTCATTTAAAAGTTTTTCATCTGAAAGCTTCAACGCATAAAACACTTTATTGTGGTTTGCTAGTTTCTGGTCTATAGTGCCAGTGACTCAACACATTTCAAAGCCCCTCAGGTTACACTTAAATGAGATAATGACACAGCATTGTGTGAACAGAAAAGCTGCATTTCAAATACTGGGAGCTTTAGATAACTTAAATCAGTGGAAAAAAAAAAAAAAACGGTATATGAATCCTAAATGGAAAACTATCTTACTAAGCTAGAACTGGGTAATCAACTTTGTCACACTCAATACCTGGAACTTCCACTTTCTAACTGCAAAACCCCACAAGTTTGGTTTTCCCTATCATATAAATAAGATATTGACTAATTTCAATGTGACAAAAGAAAACTTGGTAAACTTGTAGCAATTATTTCATAGAAAACATGAAGTGGAAAAAGTGCTGGGTGAAGGCAGAAGAGTCTCCTCTTGTATTTTTTTGCCATCATGACAGATAGGAGAACTTGCAGGAATAAATGTCAAATAGGGAGTGCAGACTAAGGAATCATATACAGTAGTTGCTTGCCTCCTTTATAAAGTTTACAATACGGAAAGTTCCCTGTGTTTTGCTGTAAGCCTGAAAGAATGAAGTAAGCTATGCAATCACACTGAAACTTAGATATTGTCTTAGACAATCTTGAAATGAAGCCAAGTCAGTGAATTCTGGGCCAGAAGCCTTGTAAAACACTTACTGCCATTGACCACTTTGTTTTTACAAAATCACACCCAGATCATAAGCAGATAGGAGATGGATTCAGAATGAGGGAAAAGTTACCTTTTCAGGGCAAGAACACGAAGTATTGCAAAGTATRTAGGAGAAAATCCACTAGTTATACCAAAAGGGTCATTTTTCAAAAATTAAGTAGACAGGTATTTGGTGGAGGATCACGACAAGATGGAAATATGCTTGTTTGGGTACTCTTTTAAACCAAGCTCCTAAGACCTTGGTTTTTTGTTTGTTTTTTTWAAACTACTAACTTTCATTTAAAAAACACCACAGATTAAAAAATGATTGGACGGCATAGCACATAAAAATACCTACTAGTGTTAACACTTGARTTCCAATAGATTTTTGACACAATTCACTAATTTATTTTGAGAGAAATGAACATGAGAATCCAGAATTTGAATAAATCCCAATAGTTACTACAGATATTACTACAAAAAAAACCTAATAGAATATGATTCAAGTACTGAAAGATTAGAAGAGCCCACCAAAAAAGAAGCCACCCAACAAATGAGGCATTTTACCACATTAGAATTCCAAGCACAAACTACTGAAACCTTACATTCTGTAAAGAAGCTCCTTTCCTATTTCTTTCATAACTTTCTAAAGCACATAAATACAAATAAAATGCCATTTTAAACATCAACTGCTTTGCAATTTGCTCCCCTAAAAATCACACAACTATCACAGTAAAGCATCTTTGAAAAATTTACTACCACAAGGCACATTAATCAGCTGTAAAGGATTTGCAATGAAATTGATGTGAAATTAAAGTTCTCTTGAGACTTAAACCAACACATCTGCAACAAATGACCTGGCACAGGAAGACATTTAATTCAAAATATGTGATATTACGTTACCTACCCTTCCCTTCTCTAGGGGGTGCCTCCTTTGCTTTAAAATCATCGACCAGGGCTTTTGAATCGGGCTCCAATGAAACACCAACTAGTATTTCAGGTTTAAACTTAGGGTACTTGTTACTAAGCAAAGCATACCATTTAGGTGCCTACATAATTAAAAACAAAAATAAAAAACATAAGCATTTAAAAACCTGAGGAAAAAGAGTAGGCTTTTATTATTAAAAAAACCTTACATTTGCTCTAGCACTTCTACTTCATCATCTACGGAAATACACTTCGGCCTTTATTTCGAAAAATKTGGTCTATTTGGTACACTACTGTACTAGAAGGTTCTATAGAATGGTTCCTAGACAACTAGCTGAACAYACCAATTTCTTTCCACTTATTTGTACAATGAAAGAGTTAGAAAGAGAAATATACCATAAATCTTTAATTAGAAAACCTTCAAGTTCTCAACTGTGCACAGTAAGTCACAGGCATTGAAAATTCTCAAGAAAAGTGATGTCAAAACAAGATACCCAAATTGCTGATATGACCCATATCAGTTATGTTTTGATCCAGCTCAACATAAGGATGTTGCTAATTAAATTTATACAAGCAACTGTATTGTGCTTACTCTATGTTGTATTAGGGGGCTAGAAATGATCACCTAACCCATCTTCCATAGAAGCCCACCAAAAAAGAAACAACTTAAGACTTGATGATGGAGACTCAGTTCAATTGCTCCATATCTATTGCTTAGATAAATTTTTCTAGTTCATTAAAAAATGAAATTGTGTAGAATTGTTGGTTGCTAGTGTTCCAATTATCCAATTCAGAAGTAAGCAAGACTAGTACAACAGTATTTTTTATTTTGAGGATGTTCTGAGTCACGATGTCTCTCCTGTAATGAAAAGACAGCAAAATCCCCCATACATGACGAGTCAGTCATACTCCAAAACAAGACTCAAAAGTTTAGCCTATGCTTTAATTCAAATTGTATTATCTGTAAGATCATTGTTTTCAAAATATGATTTTGAAAAAATTTTTATACACCTTATACACCATAACATACCTGTTTCTTTTCCTGTGCAGCCCTTAAGTCGAGTACAATGTAGCCTATATTCTCYTTAGCTGAAGATACAGGATCCAGTGCAAAACACTGGAGTTTGATAGGTGTACGCTGCAGCCTGAAAAAGCAACTCAGTTGAAATATTAAATATGAAAGTTATCTCTGCAATTAATCTCAAAGATGGTTCATAAGTTTCCAGCAAGCCAATGGTAAAAAACTAGTTAGATAACTAGTTTCATTATGTCAGAAACTAAATTTATATTGGACATATAAAAACTCATCATTGAGAAGGAAAATGAACAGGGGGTTTACTTTTTTAAGAGCAATGCACTGGAGTCTCAGAGTCTCAAGTGCTATTAAAAATACATTAGCGACAAATAAAACCTCATCCATATAAAAGAAATAAGCACAGCATCTCATATGAAATTTGAATTTCACTTGTGAGGGCATCTTAAAAATAGGGCCCGTGGAGAAGATTTTTGGGTAAAGCACCTAATTGCTTCAAGGCAGTGATAGTGTGTCTAGTGCAGGGCACATGTAGGCATCTTTCTCTTTCAAACAAAGATGAGACAGCATCTTCAATTTCTTTGAAAATATGGTCATAACATTATAACCAGTAAGTTATAAAGCTTGTAAAACCAAATGACAGTTACGAGAAATTCCATTTCTCAGCTCATCTTCTCGGTATTATCAATAACTATTTACATAGACTTCTCATGTTTGAAGTTAAGTTAATAAAATTAAGTAATTAATAGTTATGGTATACATAAGGAAGCTCGACACTAATGCCTAGATTATAACATTATTAATTTGCTCAAGGTGCCTGTGGGGATTTTTTTAGCAGTGTAAAAAAATATCCTTTAGAATTTTTAAACGTTACTTATCTTGCCACTTACTATCTTTTTTTTGTACACATTTGTACATTTWTTTGCAACACAATGGGAGATAAAAGAAAATTGCTAAAAAACAATTCAGATGACACTAACAGAGAAACTGTATTTCACTAACTGTAAAGACAAGAAAATTAAGTTTCATCTGCGAACTAGACGTTACCTGTGCTGATGAAGCGCTTTCCTATCAAGTTCCCAAGCCAATTCTGTAGCAAATTCTGGCTGATCAGTATGCTCCACAGGATCAGTAGCCAACTGCTCACCATCTAACCTGGCTTCAACTACAAGCATGTGCTTGGATCGTTTTGGAAAATAGCGTCCTGTAAAAGAGTGGAACTGCATATGTCATCACTAAAAAAGAAGCAAGAGTTCAGATTTATGCCACAAACCAATTACATAGAATTAATTCCCATATAACCTTCCCTGGTCTGCTCTTTACATTAAAGAAAAAGTATTTGCACCATGCAGAAATATGAAAGAATGTCATATGAAAAAGACTATTTGAGAGAAAACAAGACATTAAGTAACAAAGAACAAAGAGAGAAAAGTAAGCAATTAGAATGATTTGAGAACTCTCAGATTGGCAACAGGTAAGTGAGCAGCTGAGAGACAGTGAATGTTATGACTGTCCTGCTATCAAAGCAGAAAAATACAATCTTATAAAATCAGTGAAAAGTGCTTTCCTTGCAACTTGCTGAAAAAAAGGAATCATTACCAGAACAGGAGAGTGCCTAAAACTGGGTATGACTGGTCCTGAGTTCAAGATCACCCAACAGTCTAATTTGAAATGACACGTAGAAGTGAACACTTTTTAAATTTACTTATATCACAATGTGGGGAGGTGATACTRCAGGCATGTCAGACGACAGGATCTTATTTGTAAGCTCCTCTGGTAAATTTCATAAATGGGCAGAGAAATTACAGAATTTACTTGACAAAGAGAAAGCATTCAGTCAAAAAAAAAAAACCAACAAAAAAAAAAAAAAAAAAAAAAAAACCCAAACCCCACAAATCTCCAAAACAGCCCAAAACAGAAAAAGACATCCCAACAACCAACTCACAAACACACAGAAATTAGACCACAGAAACTAAAATCTGTAGAGATACAGGATGAAAAACTAGATAYACGTTCGAGTCAACAGTACCAAAAAAAAGCTAAAAAGGGATAGAAACACCAGAATACTGCTTTAAAAACAACAACAAAACCAAACCAAACAAACAAAAAAACCAGAAAACCAAACAAACTAAAAAAAAAAAAAACCGAAAAAGCAAACAATCGCCTCAGAGAAGAATGGTTACTTATTCATTTTAAATAATACATTGGGTAACTACCTCCAAAACCTAAATGCAGGTAGCCAACCCTGGCCTTAAGATACGTAGGTCCAAAGCTTTATTAATATAACGTTTACTCARTGCTGCTCGGCTTATCTGAGAAACACCTCGGAGGCAGCGACCACCCCTCATCCTCCCCTCGGGACCTAGAGGACGGGCAGCAGCCGGGAGGCCGCGACCGTCCCGCCCCTCCCGGTTACCTTCCAGCACGGAGACCACGATCAGCAGCCGATCGGCAGCTCTGGACACCATCTCCCCGCTCCGCCCGGGCGTTGCCGGGGCTGGGAAGTGCGGCCGCTCCCGAGGCGGAGCGGAGAAAACCGGGAGCCCTCAGGCCCGCGCTGCCGCCACTCGCCGCCCTTTTGCCGCCGCGGAGCCTTTAAACGCCAACCGCCGCCGCTTCCGCCCGGCAACACCGGCCCCGCCGCTTCCGCTGCCGGCACCGCCCCAACACAGCCCCGGCCCCGCCAGGGCCCCGGCACCGCCCCAACACAGCCCCGGCCCCGCCAGGGCCCCGGCACCGCCCCTCGGCACCGCCTCAGCACCGCCAGGGCCCCGGCACCGCCCCAGCACCGCCCCAGCACCGCCTCAACACCTCCTCAGCACCGCCCCAGCACCGCTTCAGCACCGCCTCAATACCGCCAGGGACCCGGCACCGCCCCCTCAGCACCGCCTCAGCGCCGCTCCAGCACCGCCTCAATACTGCCAGGGCCCCGCCAGGGCTCCGGCACCGCCTCAATACCGCCTCAATACCGCCCCAACACCGCCTCAGCACCGACTCAGCACCGCCTCAGCACCGCCCCAACACAGCCCTGGCCCCGCCAGGGACCCGGCACCGCCCCCTCCGCACCGCCTCGGCCCCGGCACTGCCCCAACACCGCCTCAGCACCGCCCCGGCCCCGCCAGGGCCTCCGCACCATCTCAATATCGCCTGAAAAGCGCCTCGGCCCCGCCACGACCTCGGCCTCGGCCCCACCTCCGCACCGCCCCGACACCGCCCCATCGCTAGAGAGACGGGGACGTGGAACTGTAATCAAAAGCATCACGAATAAAAGTATAAAAAYTGTGTTTTCACAAGGACTCTGTGTTGCCAGTGGAGGAATAGCAGCTGCTTCAAAGACGTGGCTTCTGTTAAAGCGGGGACGTTTCTTTATTTTTTTTTTCTCCCAGTGATGAGTGTCAAGGCAGGAGAATCTGAATCCAGTTGTAGTGAAATGCAGCTTTGTCCTCCTCAGCTAATTTTTCATATGGAGTAATAATCAGTTAAGCAGCAATATCAGGAACTTAGTGTGTCCCTGCACTTGGCATTCCAAGGTATATGGTTCATGTCTTGACTGTGAAACAAAACCTCCCCTTTTTAAGTTTATAGTATTCTTTTTAGGAGATGGCCTAGCAAAATACTTGTGCTGACACAAAATCCTTGTGTTTTAGTAATACACATATTCTGTAAAGTTGCTGAATCACAAATTGCAAACACCAGAAGAGGGAGAACATGTTTTCCTTTTGCAAGAATTTTTTCTGGTTCTGAAACACTTCCCAAAAAGACACTTTCTTATATCAGAGTTGAATCTGCCCAAATTCAGTTCTGGCTGCTGCTTTTTGTTGTTTCATCTTGTGTCATATCACACTGCATTTGGCATGGTAACTCTCTAGCCCTAGAGTCTGAGCTCTTAAATTTCTATCACTGTTACCTTCTGCAAGCCAAGTTGTAAGTYCATTTTCTAGATACTTTTTACACAAAGCCTGGAGGCAGTCCTCTGAAAAGTGAATGATTTTGGCTAGTGAGGGAACGTGATCCCAAGAATATACAACTTACCTGTACAGCTTTTTTTTTTATTTGAACATTGGTATCTCTTGGTGTGATTCCTGAAAATAATATTCTTGTGAACTACTGTTGAATAAACAATTACTTCTTGTAAGGGTTCAGGATTTGCTTTTTGCCTATTTAGCAAGCTGGCCTGGTTCAGCACAGGGTCAGACACTCCAGAGGCAGTACAAAAGACTGAGAGCACGTGACTAACAACACTAGTTTATGCGTGTTTATGTCTGCACATGGCAAAGCATGTGGGATCTCTCCTTTTGGCAACAGCTRGCCTTTAAATCAGGTCACCTACCTCACAGAACTTTATCCTTTGACATTCTCTCCTGGSCCTAACCTGGCTTTTATCTTGATGTTACAGGTATTAACTGTGCCAACAGCCTCATCACTATGAACGCTTTTCAATAAAGAAACTGAAGCAAGTAGAACTGAATAGTGACAAGAAGGATGGTTCATGAAAGTTGGAGGTGTGGCTGAAGTTAAATTAACCTACACCCTGTGTCAAAACTGCTTCCATATAGGAAAAAAAAAAAAAAAAAAAAAAAAAAAAAAAAAAAAAAAAGATGTGTTACAGACATTGGAGACTTTCTTCTGAGAGGACCAAAAAGCCCAATATGCAGAGTGGCTCCACTTCTTAGAGAAACCCGGCTGCCCCCTGGAGCCTGTGTTAAAAACATTAGGAGGAAACCTCCTACTGTGGTACAACAGCCCTCAGATTGTTAACCATTAATACCTTTTCAAGTAGGCAGCAATGAAATTGCAGTAAGAGGTCTAAAGACAATCAAAAAGGGAATTCAGTGCCTTGGGACCAAGTGGTTAAGGGTTCAGAAGCACATGTAAAATTCTCCTCTATTGTTCCAGTTGTAGGGAATGATGAAGGAAGACTTAGGAACCAGTTCTAGAGAATAACAGATCAGTATCGGACTCTGAGACTGGTCAGACTGATCCCTGCCAGAGTTTTGTGAGTTTGATCATCAGGCATGCTGCTCCCAGGCTTATTTCTAGTGAACCTATTTTTATCCCCTCTCCTCTTCAAATCCAGTTTAAAACTCCTTTAATGACTCCTGTTAAGTCCTGAGTGAAGATGATCCTTTTCTCCCTTTGAGACAGATGCACCACACCTGTCAGTAGCGGACCTGATGGTCAAAAATGATCATGGGATGATGTGCAAGTGGACTTTGTGGCAGATTTGAATTGCCCCAGTACTAATTTGTGCAGAAGAAGTGAGTGTTGAAGTGTTAGAAACCGTGGAAGCAAATGAGAAGAGTCATACAGGAATAAGTTCTTCTTCCCCTAAAAAGGTGGCAGGATCGACAGCCCAATTAAAATGCATTTTCACCAACTGGAAACATTGTAARGCCCAAATGTTACCGTGTAAGCAATCCCGGGAAAATGGTGGGATAATCTGTGCTTCTGGAATGCTTCAACAAGTGGTTATAAACTACACAGAATCAGCAAGGAAAGAGCCCTGTTTAGGAAGTGGAGTAGTTAGGGAGTGTTTTGGCCACCTAGAGCTTGGCAATTGTTATGAAAGGGGTAAAATATGCTTTCTTGAAATTTGTTATGCCCTTTTCTAGACTCCAATGTAATGAAAACTCCGAACAGTAGGGACAACTTAATAACTCTCACACTACAATAAATGTATTACAGTTGGAAAGGCCTCTAAACAAAATAATACAAAGACAATGCTGGTATTAAAAAGATTTTGTATATTATTGCCATTCAGCACATTTCTTTCTAATAATCTGTGAGACTGTGTTAATCTATCTCTATATAGATTTTTAAAAACCCTAGATAYGACGTAAAAAAATCCCAGCCCAACCACTGAGAACAAGTCGTAAAAGGGTCTATTTCAACTACAGTCAGTTTCTATAACATTACATTAATGAGTTTTTCCATTTTCTTAGTCTGTTCTTTTAATGTACCTTCAGCAAATTAATGTTATTATGCTTSTCTTTTAGCAATAGAATTAGAACTATAGGACTTAAAATATTGATTTGTCAATTTGTAATCAAATTTCTGTGAAGAATATAGAGACTGCCCAATATCTTTTGCTTTATTGCTATCATCACTTATCTCACATATCCAAGGAACAATGTAATTACATTCAGGTGAATATATATTATAAATTAGTTCATAGAAGCCAATCAAATAGTGAATTCTCAGTCAATGCTTAGGTTAGCATTGGTTGCAAAATTTTCTTCAAATAGATAATGGTTAAACTAATTTTTGAGTTAATAATTTATGAGCATGATTATTAAATGCTTTAATCAGCACTTCTTATGTTTATGTCCTTRGTTTAGAGACTATTAAGTTTTAACAGTTCTTCATAATTATTAAATTTCTTTTCTTGGCTTTTTTTTTTTTTCAATCACAGCTTCACTTCCCATTGACATGACATGTCAATTTAGTCTCCATGTCTTCTTATACCTCATATTACAAGGTTCCTCATTCTGCCTTTTCATTCTCTTACATAAAAAAATTTAAATGTATTTCTATTGATACCGAATGATTTGTACTTGCATTCCTATTTGTCTTAGGATCATTTATTTCGTTCTTATTTAACCTGTCTTTCAGCTCCTTTTACACTTGAGGATTGTTCATGCAGAGAGGATGATAAATAGCTGTACCCCTTTGTAGCAGGGATTTAAATTRCATGTAACAGTGTTCTAAAATCAGTCTTCTTATGGTTGCTTGGTCACATTTCAGGATACTTTGGAAGTATCCTTAAGTGTTGTTTCTATTATTTCTTATCAWAAAACAGCTTCAGTAAGAGCCTACTTTATAAGGAGTTTGAACACAAAAGAAGAATTTTAAATACTGTCTTTAAGGCAAAATTTAAAATTGAAATCACTGATYCACAGTGCATGACCTGGAGGAGAAGAATATCATTTAAACAAAGGATATTTGAATTTAAGAGGACGGGAAGCTGAAGGCTCTTTTCAAGGATTAGATAAGCAATAACTTTTATTCTTCTGAAAATGAGAGATACAAATGGGGAAATATATTTATTAAAAAAAAAGTAATACAATATTATTTCTTCTCTACTGACAGCTTAGTATGTATAAAAGCTATAACTGTCTTTTAACAGTTTATTGTGATGCCTAATCCAGTTCACATGAACATGGGTATTATGTATCATGAATATCAATGAAAATTAGAAAAACTCTTGTACTGTGTTTGTGTGGCAAGGTTTTTGTAGTGAGGGCTGTAGGTGTGGCTTCTGTGAGAAGCTGCCCCCACATCCCATAGAGACAATGCCAGGCGTCTCCAAGCTCAACCCACTGCTGGCGAAGGCTGAGCCCCTGAGAAATATTGACAGCAYGTCTGGGATAACAGAGTTAACAAGGGCAAGAAAATGGTTGTGAAACAGCAGCCAGGAGAGACGAGTGAAAATGTGTGAGAGCAACTGCCCGGGGAGCGGGAGGGGGAGGAGCTGCTCCCTATACCCGAGCTCAGATTCGCCYGCATCCCGTGGGGCAGCCYATGGWGAGGCAGCTGTCCTTCCGCAGCCCATGGAGGATCACAGGAGAGCAGAGATCCATCTGCAGCCTGTGGAGCATCCCACAGCGGAGCGKGTGGAAGTGCCTGAAGGAGACTGTGACTCTGCCCCCA